ATGAACATTTATTAAATGTAATGTACATTTGTTTGAATGCATGAAATGTTTTTTAATCATATGAACATTTTTTTACATTGTATAAACATTTTTTTAAATGTCACTTACATTTTGTTTGAAACACGGGACAATATCAGAAACATTTTTCGTACACATGACTAACATTTTCTACTTTTTTATTCACATTTTACATTTTTCATATACACTAAAAACATTTTATATACATGTTTAAAAAATTTCAAATGCATGATTAAAAAATTTCAATTTTTTATATAAATTATTTTTGTTAATATAATATATATATAATATTTCAAAATATAAACAAAAAATAAATAAATAAATGTGAATAAAAATGGGCCAATGCCAGTTGAAGAACAAACATGGGCCAATGCCAGATGAACAACAAACATGGGCCAGTTGTTGCGGACAGCACATAGTTGTACCAACATTTTCCAATTGCAGCCTCTTTACCAAAGTCTTTGGAGCATTTCTTCGAGCAGAGATTGATACCGTGAAGAAGATGTTTACAAGAGATTTCATTGTAATTCTTAGTCATATGAGTAACTTTATATTTTCTTGAATCTTAAGTCCAAATCAGCGTATCTGTAATTGTTGTGAGTATGAATAAAATTACAGGTGTTTAAAAAAAATGGTAGATTTGCTAAAAAAAAGCAGAACACGAAGATGCTTTGCATAGTTGAATACATGCACAGGACTGTACATGCATACTGATTGATCTTTCTTGATGTACCATGCATTGACTTAGAGGATGAAAGGACTGACCATTGTGACATCTCATGTACACAGTTGACGGGTATGTCATGCATGGATCGGTCCCATGTGCATGTCAATTCATGGCTGAGCTTCCATGGATGAAATATGACGCAATGTTTTATATTATTCAAAATTACGGAGACCTATACATACCGTATGTGTTTTTGCATATATAGTCTATGTTGGCTTTTGACATTAGATGGATGCGTTGTATTGTTTGCATAGTTATACTAATCTAATACCTGTGATGGTGTCACTTTAAAGAATAAATAAACAAAATAAAGATATAAAGAAATAAATCCCAAAATATGTTTTCTAATGAAGAATGAATTAGTGGCATTGGTATTACCCTTAAATAAGAAAGATATTGAAATAAAAAATCAAAATAAAAAATAAAGTTTTTTTAAGAAAGCATGAATTAGTGACATTGTTATTACCCTTTGAGAAGAAAGAAAACGAAAGAGAATTAAAATAAATAATGGAAAAATTGTACACAATTTACATAGGAATTGCATTTTTTTAATATGCAAGAATGTAAAAAAAATTGCAAAAAAGAAATTTTCTAAGAATGAATGAATTAGTGGCATTAGTATTACCATTAAAGAAGACAAATGAAAGAAGTAAATAAATCAAAATAAAACAATCAAGTTTTCTAAGAAATAATAAATTAGTGTAATTGGTATTACCATTTGAGAAAAAACAAAACACAAAAAATAAAATAAATGGTGACAAAATTGGCACACAATTTGAACAGATTGGTGCTTTTCATAATATGCAGAAATATGCATATAATAATTATTTTTCCCAAAAAAGAAGTTTTTAAGAAGGATGACTCAGTGCCATCGGTATTGTCCTGAAAGAAGAAATAAAATAAAATGAAATTATAACAAAATTAAAATAATGAAGTTTTCTAAAAAGAATGAAGTAGCGACACTGATATTATGCTTTAAGAAGAAGGAATAAAAAACAAAAAATAAAACAAGTAATGACACAATTTACACAGGAATTGCACCTTTTATAATATGAAAGAATAAGCAGTGATTCTTTTGCTAAAATGAAGTTTGCTAAGAAGGAATGAATTAGTGGGATTGGTATTACGCTTAAAGGAAGGAAATTAAATAAAATGTAAAAATATTAATATAATGAAGTTTTCTAAGTAAGAATGAATTATTAGCATTGGTATTACTCTATAAGAAGAAACAAAATAAGAAAACAAATAGTGACAATATTTGCACACAATTAACACAACAATTGCGATTTTTAAAATATGCCAGAATAAGCATATAATAGTAGAATTTCACAAAATATGAATTTTCTAGAATGAATGAATGAGTGACATGAATATTACGTACCCTTAAAAATAAATAAAAACTATAAAAAATTGAAATATGAATTTTCTAAAAAAAGAATGAACTAGTCGCATGTTATTACCCTTCAGGAAGAATGAAACTAACAATATATAATAATAAAACTTGCACACGGCTTTGCATTGGAATTGCACCTTCTCTAATATCCAAAGAATAAGCATATAATACTGCAACTTTCACACTATAGTATAATTTACAGGCATATTATATAGTGTTTGTATATGATTTACACTCAGTCAAACATCCCAAAAATACCGAAAAAGACTAACAAGAAATGGAATAAACAAAAGCAAAAAACATGCATAAAAATAGGCAATATGTAATGGGCTTCAAGCCCAATAGAAAAACCGACTGACGGCAAACAGGGGCAAGTCAAAAATTCTGCCCAAGAAGCAATTTTAATTTTAAATTTTTGAAAAGGAGGAATGCCCTGGCCTCTGCATCAAAGTGATGCATGCGTTTTTTTTTAAAGGATGAATGTCCCCGGTCTCTGCCCAAGAAGCCATGGAACAGCACAAGGAAAAACATTTGCTCATCTTGACAAAAGAATCAACAGCCAAATAACCGACTTACCCAAATTTTAAAACAGGGGAACTTATGTACAGCTAAAGTAAATTTTGTTTGCACCCCAACGAAAATTATGCCAAGTTAGAACCTAGCTTAAATTCAGAATCATTTGCATCTTGCAAGTGTTGTTCAAAAAAAATATCTAAGGCTATAACCATCAAAGTTGATCCTACATGCCTAAGATTATTACTGATTGTCAAAGCGTGTTCATTAGAGAGGGAAACATCATGGATGGGGTGTAGTTACTGCAAGAAGTATCGAAGGAATCCAAGTTCAGAAAACAATGACAGGTGGTCATGAAAATTGACTTCAAAAAGGCCTATTACAAGGTCAACTGGAATTTTCCTTTTGGATACACTTAGAAAAGAGATTTTAGTGCAAACTGGCTTGCCTCGATGAAAAGTGTGGTCACAAGGGGCTCTCAGTGTCAATATCAATGGTGAGGTGGGTAGAAACTTTGGTAGCCACAGGTTAGTGAGATGGGGGGGAGGTCCTTGTCTCCTTTCCTTTTAAATTTGAATACTGACTGCCTTGCCAACATGGTTCATCGGGATCAACAAAATGGCCAGATCACTGGACTGGCTATTCACTTTGTTGAAAATGGGATTTCAGTTATGCAGTACGTGGACAAAACTATCCTATTTGTTAAGTATGACGTAAAAGGAGCTAGGGATTTGAAACTTCTTTTACAGTATCGGTTTGAGATGATGTCTGGGCTAAAAATTAATTTTCAGAAAAGTGAGGTGTTAATGGTATTGGAGGATGCTGATAAGTTGGACCAATATGCCACTTTGTTTAGCTGCCAAATGGGCTACTTGCCTCTAAATTACTTGGGGGTGTTTGTTAGTTGTAGTAGATTGAAGGTATCTGGTTAGAAGTTTGCTTGACCAACTCTCCAATTTATAACCTGTCCATATATATCATGCGCAAAACCACCGTGAGAAAATTTGGCAAGATCAGAAGGTGCTTTGTGTGGCAAGGAGATGCTACATCGGCCATCGGGAGTGTTCACTGCCGAATCTCTTTATGCCCGCATTGCTTACAATGGTCTTCATAGATTTTTAAACACTTGTAGAAAGCCAAAATATAGCACTCAAAATTAAAATCTGGCTGTGGCTAATTTGGCATAACACCATTGCTACCAAAGACAATATGACTAGACGTAATGGTGTAGGCAGTACGATGTATGTGGAGCATTGTGGGCCTGGTCATTGCAGCCAGGACAAGGCCTGAATGACTCTCGCAAGATTTCTGGTGGATCCCCCAATTCATTCCCGGGGGTAGTAGTGTTCAAATCACCGGCCTCGCTGCGATGTGTTGGGCGATTTGGAAGCTTTGCAACAGGTCATGCTTTGAAGGAGAACTCATTAGTATGCTCGCGCATTTATCAAATAATATTGGGCAGGGGCTCCATTCTGGAGATGACATGGATGCATTGACAGCTCTATAGCTCTTGCTTTCGCTTCCCCTGCTTGTAACATTCAGAACTTTGTAAATTTCGCTTCCCCTGCTTGTAACATTCAGAACTTTGTAACTTCAGTGTGCAAGCATGATGCACTGGATGATGCTCCAGTCTGTAGATAGAGCGGGTCGTATGAAAGAATAGTTAGGCTTCAGTATTGGAAATAAAGGGTACCTGCAAAAAATAAAAAGATCATAGGTTTGCAAAAAATGGATTTCCGTCGCCGGGACTTGAACCCGGGTCTCTCGGGTGAGAGCCGAGTATCCTAACCACCTAGACTACGACGGATTTTGTTGCTTTATAAATACACCAAGCAATACATTTTGCTTGCGCATCCGTTGCAAAACGGAGACCATTAAGGAAAATGGAAACTTTTACTGGTTTTAGATACACAATTTACAATTTGCCATTGATTCCAGGAAGAAAACCAGGAGATGGTTTTAGATACACAAATTGTGCTATTACGCCCTATCATACATGGTACTAGGGATTTGCCAAGAAACAGGTTTGTAACTGATGCCAGCAGCAGTAGCAGATGCGTTCTTGCTCTGTTCATCTCTGGAGTGAACAAGTGCACATGCAAAATGTCAGTAACTTGTTGCCAGGATAGACATCTTGGCTCAACACTTGGTAGCAGGAGGTACATGGCGCTGGATCTCACATTCTGTCCGTCCATCGAATGTGCATGCAAGATTGTTCAGTCATTTCTTCCACTGGGGCAGCCGTTGGACGACAACCTGCAAGAAGAAACACAGTATTTTTTTTTTCAGAAAGAAATGGCGCTTCCCTCATGACAACAAAGCCGAAGACAGTGCGTGAGGCTAATGGAATCATGCCTTGCCGGAGTTCTCCTTGTTCCCGACGATCGTCTGGCAGGTGAGCCTCCACGACTCCGGTTTCTGGCAAAGGCAACGAGATGCAGAGTGCACGGTTAATTGGCAGATCCTCTGCTTGTGAACCATCCAGAATCATTCAGAATCGGAGGAGAGTCACAATGAACTGCTGCGTACCTTCTTCAGGTAACGATTCTCGGCGTCGGTCCTTGGGCTCAGCAGCTCCTTCCCGTCGATTATCTGCGCACAAGGTTCACACTCTGGTGGTATCAGTTACAGTTACAGTTCAGAGCAGCCATTGTGCACAGCGAGATAGCGTGCGGTGCCATTTTCAGTTGCGGTGTTGCACATGATGCAGTCAGTGAGTTACTATAGTTGGGAAGGAGAGGGAGTGGTGTACCTCGACGAGGCAGGTGCCGCAGCTGCCCCCGCCGCCGCAGTTCATCAGCTTCCCCTGCAGCGCGCGCACCAGGAACAATTAATTAGCAGATAATGCCAGAGGAAAATTAGAAGGGAAATTAAGCCAGAGAAGGTGCGGAAGTTAGGGAAGGTGGCTCACGTATGCCGCGTAGAGCTCGAGCTTGTTCTCAAGCATGACGTCCCGGAGGAGCTTGTCGCCGCTCACCGCCGCCGCCCTGTCCACCGGGTACGACCCGTCGGCGCCCGGCTTAGGCTGCACGAACAGCACAGAAAATCAATTAAACCTCGGCGCCTGGAGGCGGGAGTTAGCGGAGGAAATCTAGGTCGAGGCCTTACCCCGACGAACTCGAGCTCGATTTGGGGCTTGGGCGGCGCCGGCGCCGGAGCGCCGGGCGACAGGTCGGGCGAGGCTGCGGAGCATCTGATGGGGGAGACGGCCGCGGCTGAGCGCGTCGGCCTGCAAAGGCTGCTGCCTGCCCGGGCGGAGACCGGGGTGGCTGTGGGGAGGGGGAGGACGGAGAAGAGCGCCGCAGAGCTCGTGGCCGCCATGCTCTCGATGCTCTTGGTGGGGACGTGGCCGCGTCGGTTTGTTCGGGAAAAAGGCACCGGTTTTATCGCTACACCGTCGCCGCGCGGAAGGTGTGGCCGTCGAGCCTGCACGGGCCACACCTGCGGCTGCTCTCGGGTTGGATGGAAACTGTTCATGATAGAAACGTCTACTCTCTCCGTTCGGAATTACTTGTCTTGAAAATGGATGTATCTAGAACTAAAATACATCTAGATACATCCATTTCTACGACAAGTAATTCCGAACGGAGGAAGTAGTTTGTAACCTATTTTTTTCTTCTCAAATTCTAATTTCAATTTACATCTTAAAAATAGGTTATAATTTCAAAGTTGCCTTTTCGTACTTCTCCTTTCTTGGCCAAAAACATCTCCTCCCGCTACATGATAAGGGGGATGTAGAGGCATGTTCAACCAAAGACCCATCAAACGATGGTCTTCATGAAAACTATGCTTTCTAGGCATCACGATAATCAAAGCTTCTATCTGACTAAAACTACCAATAGCGGGATGAGCCTTCACATGCCACACTTGTGGATGGCTGGGTGGAAACTCTAAGATGCGTCTAGTTTGTAACTTTTTTCTTCTCAAGTTCTAGTTTCAAAGTACATCCAGAAAAGGATTCTAATTTCAAAGTTGCCTTTCTCATCTTCTCCTTTCTTATGTCAAAAATCCTCTCCTCTCTATGGGTGATAACGGGATTTTCATGCCGCCTCCCGCTGCCGATGGTACCCACTCCACTCTGCCACTCCAACACTGGAAGCAAGAAAACTTTAGTTTTATTTGTTCCGCGTGTAGTTAGAGTTAGGTTAGGGTTTTGTGTTGCGTGGAATAGTTTGGATGGCGGCGACGGTGGCACATCAAACAGTCGTGCCTTGATTTCATTCCATCTCAACAACATTGAAGAGTCAATGGGTCTACTATCGTTGGGCATGTGTTTCAGCTTTATGTGGTGTAGGTTTGGTCTTGTTGGCGGTGGCAACTTTGTTTTATGTGCAGATTATTCTCACCCAGGGGCATACGTGCTCCCGATCACTAATTCCTGCTAGCAATGGGCATGCTAGCATGCCCGTTCACACGGATAGAGGGAAGTCCCTTACCAATTCATTGACTTCTCCATATCCCATTGTTTGCATGTGGTCGGTGGCTATTGCGGCTACATCTATGAGATATTTCTTCTAAAGGTTTGTGTAGGCGACTTAGTTGTTGCACTTCCCGAATTCGTTTTCTCCATTCGTGATGTGATGGTGACCAAGCGAGCATTGGGATTAGTCTAGAATTATATTCTTGTGGATTTAGATGTAATTCTAACCTTTCCTAGGGTATTTTTAATAAAAGTGGGAACAAATATTCTCCAAACAATCCATTTGCACCTATTTTCAATATTTAATATAATCTAGGTACTGGTGCTAAAATTCTGGTTTCTTTGCTCTATGCATGCACCTTCTCACCAAATGAGCTCTATCGAATGAAGATTTGTCATCAAGAATGTATGAAAGGATGATTTTTCCTATTCACTTGTGAAGATAAATTTTCCTTGGTTCGCCGCAAAACAACTCCAAGGGACACACAGACTATATAGAGCGAAGTGCACTGGGTGGATCTCACCATGGTGAATTTTCCTTTTCAAGAGAATAATGGTGAAAGGATCGAGAAGAGGTGTCTAGAGGGGGGTGATTAGACCCTCAACAAGTAAAGGTAGCAGTTTTTAAGACTTTCAAGTTGAGGTTGGAAATTAGCACGATTTCAAACATACACAAGACTTATCAAGCAAGCATGGCAAGAGTATATGAGCAATGGAAAGTAAAGCATGCAACTTGCTAGAAAGTAAAGTGATGGGTTGGAGTGTGCAAACGCAATTGGAGACACGGATATTTTTGACGTGGTTCCGATAGGTGGTGCTATCGTACATCCACGTTGGTGGAGACTTCAACCCACGAAGGATAATGGTTGCGCAAGTCCATGGAGGGCTCCACCCATGAAGGGTCCACGAAGAAGCAACCTTGTCTATTCCACAATGGTCATCGCCCACGAAGGACTTGCCTCACTTGGGTAGATCTTCATGAAGTAGGCGATCTCCTTGCCCTTACAAACTCCTTGGTTCAACTCCACAATCTTGACGGAGGCTCCCAAGTGACACCTAACCAATCTAGAAGACATCACTCTCCAGAAGGTAATAGATGGTGTGTTGATGATGAACTCCTTGCTCTTGTGCTTCATATGATAGTCTCCCCAACAGTCAACTCTCTCTCAAAGATTTGGATATGGTGGAAAGATGATTTGAGTGGAAAGCAACTTGGGGAAGACTAGAGATCAAGATTCTTGTGGTAGGATTGGAATGTCTTGGTCTCAACACATGAGCAGGTGGTTCTCTCTCAAAAAATGAGTAGTGGAAGCGTAGGCACGTTCTGATGGCTCTCTCACAAATGGAGAAGGGGGTGGAGGGGTATATATATCCTCCACACAAAATCTAACCGTGACACACAAATTCCCAAACTCGGTGGGACCGAATAGTGAAACTGGGTCACAACGATCTGGTTCAAAATGTGAACGTTAGAGTTTTCGGTGGGACCGACAAGGTCAACTCGGTGAGACCGATGTGCTAGGGTTAGGAAAAACCTCATCTCGGTGAGACTGATTGCTTGAACTCGGTGAGACCGATTTCAGCAATAAGCAAACAGAGACTTGGTCAAGCAAACTCGATGGGACCGATTGCATATTTCGGTGAGACTGAAATAACTGGAATGGGTAACAGAGAGTTTGCAGGGCCATCTCTGTGAGACCGAGATCCCATCGGTGAGATCGAACTGATTAGGGTTTCTGGCAGTGGCTATGTCAAGTGAACTCAGTGGCGCCGGATAGATCAAATCGGTAGGGCTGAGTTTGACTTTAGGTTTAGGACATATGTGGAAATAAGAAAGTGGTTGAAGGCTTTGGAGCATATCACTAAGCACTTTGAGCAAGCAAGCCATTAAGCAACACCTCATCCCCTTTTAATAGTATTGTCTTTCCTATGGACTCAATGTGATCTTGGATCACTAAAATGAAACTGTAGAGTCTTGAGCTTTTGCCAATGTTTGTCCTTAGCATCTTGAAGGGGTTCCACACTGCTACCTCTTGAGCTTGCGTTGGTTTTTCCCTTGAAGAGGAAAGGGTGATGCAGCAAAGTAGCGTAAGTATTTCCCTCAGTTTTTGAGAACCAAGGTATCAATCCAGTAGGAGACGACGCACAAGTCACCTAGTACCTGCACAAACAATCTAGAACCTTGCAACCAACGCGATAAAGGGGTTGTCAGTCCCTTCATGGCCACTCGCAAAAGTGAGATCTAATAGAGATAGTAAAGTAAATATTTTTGGTATTTTTGTTGTATAGATTGGAAAGTAAAGATTGCAAAATAGTAAACGAGATTTAAAGAGATGCAATATAATGGAAAAGAGACCCGGGGTCATAGGTTTCACTAGTGGCTTCTCTCGAGATAGCATGCATTACGGTGGGTGAACAAATTACTGCCGAGCAATTGATAGAAAAGCGCATAATTATGAAGATATCTAAGGCAATGATCATGAACATAGGCATCACGTCCGTGTCAAGTAGACCGAAACGATTCTGCATCTACTACTATTATTCCACACATCGACCGCTATCCAGCATGCATATAGAGTATTGTGTTCATAAGAACGGAGTAACACATTAAACAAGATGACATGATGTAGAGGGATAAACTCAAGTAATATGATATAAACCCCATCTTTTTATCCTCGATGGCAACAATACAATACGTACCTTGCTGCCCTTACTGTCACTGGGAAAGGACACCGCAAGATTGAACCCAAAGCTAAGAACTTCTCCCACTGCAAGAATGATCAATCTAGTAAGCCAAACTAAACCGATAATTCGAAGAGAGTTGCAAAGATATCAAATCATGCATATAAGAATTCAGATAAGAACCAAATAATATTCATAGATAATCTTGTTTATAAATCCACAACTCATCGGATCTCGGCAAACACACCGCAAAAGAATATTACGTAGAATAGATCTCCAAAAACAGCGAGGAGAACTTTGTATTGAGAATCAAAGAGAGAGAAAAAACCATCTAGCTAATAACTATGGACCCGAAGGTCTGTGGTACACTACTCACGCTCCATCGGAGAGGCAATGGTGTTGATGTAGAAGCCATCCGTGATTGATTCCCCCTCCGGTAGGTCACTGGAAAAGGCTCCAAGATGGGATCTCACGGGTACAAAAGGTTGCAGCGGTGGAAAAGTGGTTTCTTGGCTCCCCCTGATGTTTCTTGGGTATAAGAGTATATATAGGCGAAAGAAGTACGTTGGTGGAGCTACGAGGGGCCCATGAGGGTGGGAGCGCGCCTACCCCCCTGGGCGCGCCCTCCTACCTTGTGACGCCTTGTGGCATTTCTGACTTCAACACCAAGTCTTCTGGTTTCCTTTCGGTCCAAGAAAGATCATCGCGAAGGTTTCATTCCGTTTGGACTCCGTTTGGTATTCCTTTTCTGAAAAACTCTAAAATAGGAAAAAAAAAGAAACTGGCACTGGGCCTCCGGTTAATAGGTTAGTCCTAAAAATAATATAAAAGAGCATATTAAAGCCCATTAAACATCCAAAACAGATAATATAATAGCATGGAACAATCAAAAATTATAGATACATTGGAGACATATCAAGCATCCCCAAGCTTAATTCCTGCTCGTCCTCGAGTAGGTAAATGACAAAAACATAATTTTTGATGTGGAATGCTACCTAGCATATTTATCAATGCAATTTTCTATATTGTGACATGAATGTTCAGATCCGCAAGATTCAAGGCAAAATTTTAATATTGACATAAAAAATAATAATACTTCAAGCATACTAACAAAGCAATCATGTCTTCTCAAAATAACATGGCCAAAGAAAGCTATCCCTACAAAATCATATAGTCTGGTTATGCTCTATCTTCATCACACAAAGCAATTGTTTCATAC